CAATTGGTTCCATCAACCCTAGTTTAAATGTTTAGCTACTCATGGTAAAACAAGATAAAGCCATAAAATAATTCATAATTCACAAATTAATGATAACAGGAAGAAGAATGAAAACCCTAATGGTGTCTTGATCTTCTCACACTTGTTCTTGCCTCCAATTGAGTCTAAAAACAAGCTTAACCTTAACTTGGGAGAGTTTGTTGAGTTTATATAGGGTTAGGATAAGTTCCCCACGCTTTACACTTTGGCCCCTGGACTTTCTTGGCATTCTCCAGAACGACCGCGGTCCGACCACGGTCGTTTTAGACCATTCTGTTTTGCGCCTTGTTCCACCGCGTTCCAACCGCAGCCCGACCGCGGTCGAAATGAACTGTTGCCCATTTTTTTCTTCGCCTTTTCTTGTTCGTTTTCATCCGGGCTCTTCTCGATTAGCCTTGTATCTACATATTTGACCCCAAAACATTCTATATCCTCCTCCTAACTCGGAGTAGCTCCTGCAAAGCATAAAAATCTCAATTAGAGCATTTTGTTATCATTTAACACTTAAAACATCAATAAAGTATGGTTAACTTAGAGCATAAATAGCATCTACATCACATAATATAGGCTACTATCAGGCACCGTCCGTAAAGAGGGTCCAAATTCCCGAAGATGATCCTAAGTTTACCAACAACTCTCTTTTGACTTCGGGTATTTGGGCCAGTGTGAAGTCGACTACGAAGTCTGCCAAAATTTGGGACTTAATAGACGTTCGAGGTTGATATTCGATATCGTACCCGCTGATTTCGATGGCCCATTTGGCCAATCATCCCGAGAGTTTGGGTTTATGCATTATATTTTGTAAAGAGTAGGCTGTCACAACACATATAGGATGGCACTGAAAATACGGTTTCAGTTTCCTAGAGGCACTTAGCAATGCGAGTGCCAAATTTTCTAGGTGAGGTTATCTAGTTTCGGCTTCACCCATGGTCCTACTGACATAATAAATCAGAAATTGCATACCTTGTTCCTCTCGGACCAGGACTCCACTTACTGCTATTTCCAATACCGCTAGGTACAAGTACAATCGTTCGTCCGCCCTCGGCGTGTGAAGCAATGGTGGGCTTGAAAAGTATCGCTTAAAATCCTCTAAAGCTCGTTGACATTCTGGGGTCCATGTGAAGTTGTTGTTCTTTTACAGCAACGAGAAAAATCGATGACTTTTATCGGGCGACCTCGAGATGAATCGCCCCAAGGCTGCAATGAGCCCGGTTAGCCTTTGTACAACTTTCACATTATCCATTATCGTGATATCCTCGATAGCTTTGAGCTTATCGGGGTTGATCTCGATCCCTCAATTGGATACCATGAATCCGAGAAACTTGCCGGACTCGACCCCGAATGCACATTTTTCTAGATTCAGCTTCATGTTGTACTTTTTCAGTATACCGAAGGTTTCCTGCAAATATTTTAAATGGTCCTCTGCTCGCAGGGACTTAACTAGCATATCGTCAATATAAACTTCCATGGTTTTTCCTATTTGTTCTTCAAATATTCAAATTACTAATCGTTGGTAAGTGGCACCCGCATTTTTTAATCAGAATGGCATTACGTTATAGTAGTATGTGCCATATTTAGTGATGAAAGAGGTTTTTTCTTGGTCGCCCGGGTTCATCCGTATTTGGTTGTACGCGGAATAGACATCAAGAAAACTTAGAGTCTCGTGGCCGGCCGTGGCGTCGATCATGCGATCGATGTTAGGCAAAGGGAAAGAATCTTTAGGGCATGCATTATTTAGGTCTTTATAATCTACACACATTCTAAGTTTGTTTCCTTTCTTAGGAACCACGACTACGTTTGCTAACCATTCCAGGTATTTGACCTCCCGGATGGATCCTATTTTAAGGAGTTTAGTTACCTCGTCCTTGATGAAGGCATGTTTGATCTCGGACTGGGGTCTCCTTTTTTGCTCTATCGGAAGGAACTTCGGGTCCAAGCTTAGTTTGTGAGTAGCGATCTCCGCTGGGATCCCTGTCATATTGAGACGGGACCAAGCAAAACAATCTATATTAGCTATAATAAATTGAATGAGTTTTTTCCTGAGCTCGGGAGTTAACCCCGTGCCCAGGTATACCTTCCGATCTGGTAGATGTTCGATCAGCACGACCTGTTCCAGTTCTTCGACAGTTGACTTGGTAGCGTCGAAATCATCGGGGGCGATGAAAGATCGAGGAACCCCGAAGTCATCATCTTCGTCAATCCCTTGCTTGCCCGATTGGGTCGAAGCTGGCATCGATGATTGCTATTTTGCTTTCAAACTTGATTCCTTTGTCAATGATAGTGTTGATATCGGAATTACTTCATCGACGGCAAAAATCTCCTTCGTGGCGGTTTGTTCCCCGTAAACCGTCTTTATCCCCTCCGGTGTTGGGAATTTTAATACCTGGTGATGGTTCGAAGGTACGGACCTCATGTTGTGGATCCATAGTCTCCTAAACAGGGTGTTGTATCTCATGTCCCCCTCTATTACATAGAACTTGGTTTCTTGGATGGTACCGGCAATGTTATTTCTCCCTTAGTAGTTTTGCAAGCCATGTTGAATCCATTCAGCACTCGAGTCGCAGGTACGATCTGGTCTTGCAGACCAAGTTGTTCGACGACCCTCGACCCAGTGATATTGGCTGAGCTACCTGGATCAATTAGTACACGCTTAACTCGAGTTCGACCATGCTCGGTGTGTGGTTCTGATTTTTGAGATGGGTTATTGCTGCATGTCGAGCCTGTAACATTTCGAAGATCACCCGCAGGCTGATCCCGCCATCTTCACTGCCACGTGCGCTCTGAGTAGCTGATCAGGCATCCCCGCGGACGCTGCTTTCGGGATCGACGACCAAATTTCCATTGATGGCTACATGCGAACTGATGTCGATTGGATCTACAGCCGGAATTCCATCGGGACCAGCAGGGGGTACAACGTTTCCTGGTGCAATGTTCTCATTTTCGTCGTGGTGGCTGAGATCATTGTCAATGTGTTGAGGTGCTGACTGAGAGTTTGACATTTTTTAATCCTGTAATCAAAGATACTTTAAAGAACAAGTGTAAAATAGTGTGTGTTACGAAAGTTTGTACCAGGCAACCACTATTATCCTTAGCCCACATCGGGCGCCAAACTGTTTACTCTAAAATTGGATAACAATTGAATTTATACGCTATTTTAAGTACACATGATATAATTTGGTACAATTTAAGAAGAATAAATTAGTATTGAAATAGGCAATTAAAGAATAAATGCAAACCACACAAAGTATACAGCCTTGGCCCTCGAGTTCGGTCACCCTTGAACCAAATATGTATCCACTGCTTACTAACAGAATAACAAGGCAATGATAACTAGAGAATTACAGTATATTGCTTTGTATTGCGTGAATATGATGATGTTTACAAATGATCAGACTCCCCGTTATATAGTAGGGGAGTCCTACTCTAAATACAATTCTATATGAGGTAAGAAATCCCATGATTGGCTAATTAATCGGCCTCTTCTAGATACTTGCCGAGATTCGCGTTGTGATCCTCGCCCATTTGCAGATATTTCGTCTTTCCATTATTCTACTCGGTAAGCTTCCCTCGATCTCTATCTTGTTCGGTCTCGATCTTGGTCGGTCCAGATCTTGGTCGATCTCGATCGTAATCGGTCTCGGTCTTAATCGGTCTCAGGGCAACGAGCTCGGCAACCTAACTTTGTATCACAATTCGATATAATACGAGGCTGAACCTTGGCTTACCACGCTCAAGTCTCGATCAGTCATACAAAAAGGGCAAGCCCGATTTTGACCGTATATAATTTCCTTGAGTGTGACTCTATGTCATTAATTCCCTCTAAAACTCAAATTTTCTTGTAAGACCCCTTGAAATAGGGAAGTGTAATTAGAATAAGATCAAATTAAAATAAAATAAAACAATAGAACGAAGCTTAAGGCATATGAATAATTTAATGGCACGTCGGGGGAAATTAACTTGTTGCGGCTCAAATCTTATATGCGCGAGCAGGGGCGACGCTATGTCGGTCTAAGGGTGGTCAACTAAACATGTATACGTAAAAAATTATTTGTTGTTGATTAAAAATAGACTTTGAGCACCGCTGCACAACCCATTGGCAATGGGTGTTCAAAATTTACTGGCTTCGCCATTGTGCGCGAGCCTAATTCTTTTTACTTGTTTTTTACAACCCAATCCAATATAAAATAAAGAACAAAGCTCTTCCTGACCAATAAGCGACACTCTCTTTTAAGATGCCCACTATTTTTCGACAATCCACTGTATATCTCAAAATTATATACTTAAACACTAAGAAAGAAAATATATTTTGATCGGTTCCATAGGTCTCCTTGACTCGTTAGCATAGGATGATGCATGGTTCACTATTTCTTTTGTTGGATACAGGAACTTACTAGTTAATTGATGTCTAGAAGAACACATCAAGTGCAATCCAAACTTACATATCTTTCTTATCCCTTATAAGTAATTGATTAATTTTTTTACGCCTTAATTTTCTGTTAAACTTTTTTTTCGCCTTCCAGTAGGAATTGAAAGCGTTAGAAGTTAGAAGCAAACATAGATAAAATTGTTTTGTATGTATCAATTTATGTGATGTAATTTTTTTAGTTTGTCCTTAAAAAATAATATTTTTTATATTTTAAATAATTCAATTTTAAATATTTTATTTTATCCTTACTAAAATAATTTATACCACCTAAATATTTATTGCTTGATATAGATCATATTTTTTTTTTAATTTCTTAAAATTTGTGTCCGTCAATCATATCACGTAAAATAAGATGGAGGAAGTAGTTAATTTAGAGTCAACAGTCCATGAAAAGTCTAAGTGTTCTATCTATAGCTTAATACGTGATTAAGACCTTTTTAAATATAAAAATATTTAACAAAGATCAAAAGCATTCATTTTTAACAAATTTAGAGGACTAGAACTACTTATGAGTATATCTAAGGTACCATTTTCAAAAATACCCAAACCTAAGGGATCATTTTGCCATTTTCCTTTAATTGCTTTCTCTCGTCTCAGCTGGCTGCTCGCCTTGAGGTTTCGTTCTGCCGTTTGCGTTTGTGTTTCTCGGCGCTGTAAGTTCTGTTCGTGAATCTTTAAAAGAATAGTGGTTGTTAATTCAGTGAATTAATTCTAAAATGTCATCGTTCAAGAATGCTATTTCTAGACGAGCTCATAAGGAGCGAGCTCAGCCGTAAGTGATATTACTTACATAAATTAATTCTGTGTTTTTTAGTTGCTTTAGTTTAATCTGTTTCTTGATTTTCTTGTCTATTGTATCAGACAAGCTAGGAAAAAATTTGGGTTGCTCGAGAAACACAAAGATTATGTGGTGCGGGCGACAGCATTCCACAAAAAGGAGCAAGCTTTACAGGTAATTTCTTTTTGTTTTATTCTACTAGAATTGAATGTGTTAGAAGTTAGGAGATAGCATTAGATACGAAATCAGTTGAATTAGACTTGGCGGTCCATGAAAAATCGAAGTATTATGTAGCTTAATACATGAATAAGTTAGGGTTGTGCGATATTTGCTGCAAGAAAGTCAGCTTGCGGCAATGGGGCTTTTATAGTTTATCAGAATTACAGCGGAGGCAAACAACACTTAGTGATTTCTTTCCCTAAACCTTGGGGGCAGAGTTATGCTATACCTGTGCTGGTGGGAGGTAGCCTGTACCCGGTGAAATAGTCTATGTGCGGCAAGTGGGCAGGGACGTCACTGGCTAAAAAAAGGGATCAGAATTCAGAACCCTTGATTGTGTTTTGCAGTTAGTCAATTTGAAGGGATCCTTGAATGTTCTTTATTTTTCTTTGTTGGTACTGTATCTCTGTCTACACTGGTCTTCTACATTTTATATGATCAGATATGTGAATTATATTTGTTAATTTCTTTACAGAAACTCAAGGAAAAAGCAGCATTTCGGAATCCAGATGAGTTCTACTTCAAGATGGTTAAAACAAAAACTGTGGATGGAGTGCATAGATTGGAGTAAGATATGAATATCCATATATGTTGGATTGAGCTGATTTCTTCCTCATTCGCGATTGACCTGACTTGTTGGACACCTGTTTCGATGTTTCCAGGAGTCAAGTAAATAAATATACTCCAGTGGAACTCATGTTAATGAAGACTCAGGATATAGGCTATATTTTACAGAAAGTTCAGTCTGAGAAAAAGGTCTGGTTTTGCATAATGTGGTTCATGTTTAAATCTCTCTCTCTCTCTCTCTCTCTCTCCTCCCCCCCCCCCCCCCCCCTTCTCTCTATTGTTGAGCCAAACGATTGAGAAATCTCTTATGCTTCCTTCTTGTCAATAACTCTTATATGCAGAAAATTGAAAAGTTAACTGCCACACTGCACTCTCTTGATAATCAGCCATCAAATAGACGTGTTTACTATGCCGAAGACAGGTTAGAAATAAGACCCCTCTTGAATTCAGTATCCCTCTTTAGACATTCCGTAGAATACAATGAAATAACTTAGCTTTACAATCTTGTTTTAATTTGCCTATGCACTCAAAAGACAATCACGTTTGGAGATATCTACTTGATTGTCACTGACCTGACCAATTGCATTCAATATTTAGCTATCTTTTCATGGATTGAACTTGAACCTCATTATTCAGGAAATGGTTGACTTTTACCATACGGCTAAATGACTCATTTGGAGTTATCTACTTAATGAACTGACAAACTGCATTCAGTGTTTAGCTTTCTTCGTGAGTTGAAACTATCACTTGATCTAGGTTGACTTTTACCATATGACAGTTGAGCCATGTCTATGGAGGAATAACGATTCCCTCCTGTTTTATTAGTGTTATCTCTAATGGATGCACAAGCTTTATTCACAAATAATCTCTCCACATTACTTGCTTCTGGTTTCAGTTGTCCTAATTATACACAACCATAGCAGGCATCTTTCTAAATAAATGTAGTGGCACTCATGGATGAACCACTCAAGAGCCTGAAATAATGCTGTATCGTTGAACTAACTCAACTTTGGCTCTTTGATAAATAATAAAAAGCAAAAATAATAATACAAGAATCACTCAATAGCTGAAATGTTAGAGGATCTCAGTGTCAAGCTTGAATCATGCCGCGGGGTTTCAGCCTCTCAGGACTTGTATTTTTCATTATCTTTTCCTTTTTTTCCTGTTCTTAAGTTAGCTTATTAGCCTCAAACAGTCAAAGCATACCATTTTCTTTTAACTTTTATCTATTTTTTGGCTTCTCTTCTTGATGCCCCACATTTTGAGAAGAGGATCATGCGACGCCATATAAGGAACTGCTAAGAGCTTTATTTGAATCTATTATTATCGTTTTGGACAGCTAGAGAAGTGTTTGATTTAATCTATCATACACCTTGTATTTTGGTGCTTTCATTGGAATATGGTTGCTATGTGTCTTTTAATTCTATGGATTATGACCGCGGATTCTTATGAGAGTTGCATATTTTGTAGCATTTCTTTTCTTTTCCCTCCCTCTGCCTCAATGTATACATCACTTTAAATTTGCCGCTTCTGTTAAAAGATCTTCTCTGTGCTGCAGTTTCCTTTCAAAATCCTTACTTTCTTTGTTTTGCTTATTTACAGGGAGGAGGCAGAAGAGCTGGCGTCTAAAGCGTCAGAACGTAGTAATTTGGCTGCTTCTCAGAACTTGCCTAGTAGTATTAGAAGGTATTATCAGTTTATTCCATTTATATTGTAGTGCAGATTAATATATCATGTCTTGAACTCTTTAATAATCAAAAAACAAAAATGTTTGAAATTGTATAAGGTTTAACCTTTTAGCATTTGATTGAGAGTTTGTAAACCATTTCCGAATGTAGGAACCTACTAGTTTAGTGATGTCTAGAAAAATACATCAACTGCAATCCAAACTTACATTATCTTCTTATCCCTTATAGTTGATAAATTTTTTTGGAAAGGTTGAGTCCTTTTTATACCAGAAACATTCTTTTACCTTTTATTATTGTAGGCTCACTAGTTGAGAGGAGCTAAAAAATTCAACCACATCATAAATGCCTTGTTTTTCTGTTAAAATTGGACGAGGTTTATTTTTGAAGCTGAGGGTAGTTTGTTTCTTACATCCCTTTCCGTTTGATTCAACCACAATCGAGCACTTTGTAACTGCAGCGAGGAAAGAATGCAATTGAAACAGAAAAGTATCCATTGGGGATATGCCTGAAAAGAACTTTAATATGTTAAGTTTACTTGAAGTTTAAGTTTTGGTCTTGCTTCTGCAAATTATTCTTGGAAATCAATTGTTACAAGTTCTATTCTTGGTTCTTAGGAATCACTAATGCCTTCAACACTCTGCATAGAGTGCGACATTAAATTTGATAAAAGAGTTGCATTAATCCTTTATTTTTTTTAGTATTTTTTTAAGTTGGGATAAGGGTAGACTCTTACACTTTCTTGAATGTGTACACTAATCTCCGTCGGTATCAGAGCAAAATTGATTAACTTGTTCATTGTCGGAATCTCCTGCGCAGGAAGACAGCTGCCTCCTATAGAGAGTTGGAAGCAAGAAAGAGCAGAGTGAGAGATTTAGAAAAACTGTACATGGATATGGCCATTCAGAAAGAATTACAGGTGTTTATACATTTCAGGTTTTATGTTCTTCATATTCAAGATCTTGAACTATGACTCCAAAATAACTCTTTTCTTGTTACCAGAAATCGGGAAGGAAACGCAAGCTTCGTGAAGAGGAGCTTGTGAACCCAACAACCAAACCTGTCTACAAGTGGAGACAAGAACGGAAACGATGAGAATTTCGATATTATAATACAAGTACGAGGAAGTGTTTTGGTGGTCATATCAAGAATTCAGGTGAAAGTCAGTAGAACAGCTGCCTACTTGGCTTCATTTTTTTGGTTGCTATTGTCTGGGTGAAATCTTTAGATGGAACTCATGCATCATTCCATTTGTGGAAACAAAAGTGGATAGTTGTTTATTAGTATGAATCACATCGTTGTAACATCTTAAACATTTGATTATTAAGATTAATCGTAGTTCCAGTTGGTGCTTAACAGGCTTTGGCTGTGGGTAAAATGGCAATTGAATGTGAGAATGATAGCTTCTTCACAATTACAGGATTTGCTTCTAGCAATGTGTGTATTCTAGGTCACTACTCACTAGCAACATACAATATATCCTTAGATGGCAAATTTCAATGATAATACATTTCTATGACCATAGAGTTCTTCAATTCAAAACCTGAAACTTCAGGATGTTCAAATACCAATTCAGTGTGAGAACAGGAATATCATATTATTTCAGTAATTTAGCTGCAACATGCTCCGCAATAGCCATACTGGAAGTTAGGCCTGGTGATTCAATCCCAAACAAGTTAACTAAACCAGATATACCATGAATGTCCTCTCCCTGCAAAATGTGTGTTTTAGAGACTGTCAAAATTAGCAGATGGAACTAAAAAATTGAAATCTAACAAAAAAACATGAAACATGAAAGGCAACCAAAATGTCAATGCATCAGGTGTTCCGACAATTCTTGTCTGATAAGCATGGGAAGAAGACCCAATCAGGGTATTTTCAAGAACTTGGTCATGCAGAAAAGACGCATACCATTAATTTTGTAGGGATTCGTTAAAATTCCGTCAGTTGGACCAGATGTGCTTAAATTTGTCAAACTTAAAGAATTATGTGTGATCAGAGTAATATAATTGGGATGAAAACAGATCTGCTCCTTAACTTAAGGGAGCATTTTGGTAAATAACCAGAATAAGTACGATATACCTGAACCACAAAATCTGTAGGCCCCTCTTCTGGACCAGAAAGCTTTGGTCTGATGCCTGCATAACCTGGCTCCAAAGAACCATCCTTTAGACCAGGGTAGTATTTTCTTATTGCTGGGTAGAATTGCTTTGCACGGTCTTCACCCACAGAATAATCAAACCTAGAATATCATAAGCATATATCATAAAGGAGAATTGTCTTCTAATGCAAGAAGACTAACCATTTCCAGCATTAAACAGATTTTTTGATAGTTCTGCAATTCTATTTCCTTATTAAGCGTAAAGAAGGTAACGGGTTGAAATACTCAAAAGGTGAAGTCCGAACTAAAATATATACATTATCTGTCCAAACATTCATCTTAGCTTCAGATAAAATAATCTGACCGCAAATTCATCATTGCTGTGCATAGACAATTACAAGTTCTTGAAACAGTGAGCTTTTGACTTAATTTTGGTACTATTTTTTTCCAGACCTTGTTGCATCTCATAATATAAGGAGTGCGCAAAATTTTGAGCCTCAGGCAGCGCAAACAAAGATGAGCTGTATTCTATAGCTTGAAGACCACCGTCCAGAGCTAATAACAAAGGCATAATAGAACTTCCTATTATTTACAACTCTTGCCTCCTGAACCATATCTGAATGCTTGCAGAATAAAGCTATCAAGGAACATCTTAAAGAAGCTTGAAAACTTCTAAAATGCTAAAGCACCAGGTCTCCTAACTGAAAAATACATTCTCTGAAACAAATTTTGATGCACTCTAAATAAATTCTAACTATCAGAAAGAACAAGCTAAAACTAAAACTAGTTCACCATTCAGGTTACTTCTGAGACTCTTCTGAACATGAAAAACAAATTTGGGTATTGATGGGAAGATAGAGAATTTTTAAGGGTCTAAACATAGAAAGGTGCAAAGTATGTTAAAGAACTGATAATAGAATTAGCTAGTTTGACACCATCACTGTCAAATTTATCCACATAAAACAGTCTAAGAAGAACGGATATGAGTTATTATTATGTGTGCTCAATGAGGACTTACATATTGAGGAAGCTCGGAATATCATGAATTCCTCCTATCCATTCAACATCAGGACCAAACTTGACTTGGCCATTCAAATCCAAGGTCACATGCACTCCAAGCCCACCAACCTCAGGTATAGGATAAATCAAGTGCTTGAAAGGGGATTTAGTGTTTGACAAGGTGAAGTAGCAACCACGAGCATAGTGAGAAGCAGGAATAATACCGTCAGGTAGGCCTTTCATTCGTTTTGCAATGGCTGGAGCGCTTAACCCTGCAGAATTCACTACAAGCTTGGGAATAAGGACTAGTTCAGAGTCTAATTCGGACCTCCCATTCCAGTTTGCAATAGCATTGCTCCCAGAAACATGAATTTGAATTTGATTTCCTTCAATATGACCACCAATAACCGCAGTATTGTAAGAGAAAGTCGTCCCGTGACTTTCAGCTTCGCCCTAAACCCACGATACGGTCATAGTCCTGTCAATATCATATCAATGGTTCTAAACGATAAACAAATAATGACAAATCGAGCTCTTCTAAGTAATGAGAAATTTTCTCTTCCTATGTTCTAAAGAAGTAGCTCTTCAAATGTTGATTAGCTAGCAGACAGTAAGACAGTATAATTGGAGACTGAATGGTGAGAAACAATACCACCAATGATAGCATCAAGGAATGGCTATCAACTATTCCCGAGGAAGGTGACCATAAAGCTTTAAGACATTGCAATTCAGGCTCCAGTGTCATAGCTTCATAACCATCCATCATCCTCAGACCCTCAACCCCATTTTGAATTCCGCGAGTCATGAGAGCACTCAATTTTGGAATCTCTGATAAACCATTAGCGACTATAAGCTTGCCTATCTGCTTGTGTGGAACTTCATGATCTTTGCAATACTTGTAGAGCAATTCTTTCCCTCTAACACAGAAAAATGCCTGTGATACAGTTTCAAAGTTAAAGCTCAAGCGTGGGAGCTCCACACAGTAGAGCTGAATATGATAGTGTTATGAAATTTACAGAACTGTTACATTCCACATTCCAATAAAGACGCTCACTCCTTTACAACTTCAAGACAAGAGATCAGTACGAGTAAGATAGGAGTTTGCGTTGAACTAAGAAAAGATTAGAATGACTATTGTCAAGCCAACTAGCACTAATTTGCTTAGTATTACACATCTAATATCCATACAGCATATGTGCAAATATGAGTATTGTACATCAAGGATTCAAATTAATTTTCAGGGTTAGCTCGGAAACAGCCTCTCTGCCTTTATAGGGTAGGGGTAAGGTTGCGTACGCACTACCCTTCACAGACCCCGCGTATTGGATTAAGCTGGGTTTGTTGTTGTTGTTGTTGGTTAGCTCGAAATATAGCACTCGATTTGCAGTCATGATAATCAACTATACTGTACTATAATCAAGTTAAGACAACTAGTTTCTCCACGTTGCATTCAATTGTATTCCCAGTTGTAGATGTAAAAGAGAAGGAGCAATGCATAACCAGTTAGTTGGACACTCAACTTTTACCACCAAAGCTTAACAGATTCCACTAATTCATCCTCTTCCAAATAACTAGGAATACTTATTTGACTGATTATCTCTATCAAAAATCAACTTTCTATTCATGCTTAATGAATAATTGTTTAGAAGCAAGATTGCAGCAAACGAGAAGAAACATACATGATTAGCAGAATCAAATCCAAACTTCCAGTTCATGCTTAATTGGCAATGTTTAGAAACAAAATTACATAAGATACGAGAAACTGAATCGATTAGCAGTATCACAATTCACACTTTCAACTTAAGTGGCAATGTGTAGAGAAAACATTAAAGTAAAAACAACCGATTCACTAGCAGGATCGAAAATCAAACTTCTAGTTCATGCTTATTGGTGAATAGTTCTAGAAAAAAGACAATAAACTCACTGATTAGCAGTATCCAAATTCAAACTACTAGTTCATGCTTAATAGGGGAATGCTCAAAAAAAATGTTACACTAGAAAAGAAGACAACAAAGTGGACTGATTAGCAGTATCAAAATTCAAACTTCAAATTCATGCTTAATTGGGAGTGTTCAAGAACAAGATTACAGTATAAGAAAACAAGAAACACTATTAATAAACTTTATCGGTAAAAAGGAAAGAACAAGAAACTCGATCTTTAATTTGTATGCACAAATAAAACAAAATTCGCTGTAGAAATTAAAAAGGACAAGAACCTTGAGAGAATTAGGAGGGTAATAAATGCCAGCATGAATAACTTCACTATTGCGAGAACTAGTACCAGTCCCAAAAGTTGGGGCAGAATCAACCACCAGAACTTCTCTGCCATGCTTCACGCTAAGCTCTTTAGCCACTGCTATGCCCACTATACCAGCCCCTATTACCAAACAATCCACCTTCTCCTTTGGAATTGATGATGATGATGATAATGGGGTTCTGCTGATATTCTTGAGTTTATGGGATACTGTTTTTGTGATTGAGTTTGTGGCTTTCATCATCCGCAACATGGCACTGCTCGTGGGAACCTGAAATGGAGCTGTCAAGTGTCAACCTAGTCGCTGCTAATCAGTCATCTCAAAATAGGTGGATCTGAGATGATAAATCTTCCCTTTTTGTTTTTCTTTCTTATGAAAACATATTTTAGGTTTGTACATTTCTTGTTAAGCTATATGAATCCTACATACATATTCCTATTCACAAAATATTAAGTGTTGAGGTAGATGGTGTATCACCCAAAAATTATATCTTAGTTTTTATACAATTAGATTATAGAAAAATAAGGTTAATTCTAATCAATATCAATATTTAATAGCAGATCTAGCACTTTTAGGATAAATATTTAATATGTAATACTAGACGAGACTATCTTGAAGCATTGATCCAACAATAAAGACTTATAAATATAAAATGTAGCAACAAATGATAATAAATGACTTTTTAATAGTAGATGAAATAATGATCACCCGGCAAGGGTGAGATCTTTAGACATGCTTTCTGATAATGATGGATGATGATAAGCATTTGTATATTCCAATTCTTCTTGGATCCATAGACATGGATGAAAGAAAGGAAGTGTAAACTAAAGCTTTATTTCTATTGAGAATCTTGCACAGAGAAATTCTTTACGAAAGGTTTTTCCTCTTTTGAACAACATTTCTTTTTATTTATAAGGGAACGTGGGCCACAAAACACTAGATAGTACAACAGAAATGAATATTCATTAGAATATTCTCTAGGGAATCTAAATCCTAAAAAT